AGGGTGGCGGTTGCGTTTCTCCGGTTGAAAAGATAAGTCCTCCTTTTCTTAGGTTTACGAAATTGGGTTTCTTGTGATTTTTCGGTGATCGTTTTTTCGGTAGCTATCTCCGTGTTCTCCCTCTGTTAGGGTTTCGTGAAATTTTTTTCCTTTTTTCCTCTCTTCTCAACATTCTCTTTATATAGGCTCCACTTGAGATTTTTGTTTTAGAATATGATTTAAGGCGCTTTGAATGCTGATTGAATCTTCCTATTTGGTCTAGGGTAGATTTGAAAACATTCCTATTTCGTTTGATTGCAATGATATCTTGTTTAATGAAATTCTCAATTTGGATCAATCATGTTTAATGCCCTTGTCTTGTCCAGGTTCATTATTCTGAGAATCTGCTAATTGTCTGAATCGAATATTCCCTCCAACCCGGCGTATCCCCTAATGGGCCTCTGATTTTGTGGATTATTGTTGGCAGGTGCGGATAGCAGCGATCTTGGGCCAGGGAGGAGATAAGCGGTTGTTATGGGCCAGGAGGTGGTTGAGAAGCCCCATTTGCCAGACCACACATTGCAGAACAACAACGTTATCGAGAAAACAAGAACACCCCACATGAGCAAGTTCTAACTATTAATATTTAGATTATGCTCAATTTCTGTAAACATTATTGTGAGTTTGAGACTTGCTTTTGTTATGAACAGGCAATTGGCAAAGGAGTTTTGGACTTGTCTTGGCAGGCAGACGCATTTGTATGTAAGCTTGTGTTTGAATTGGCGACGTTCTGTAGTTGCCTTAATCTTCTTAGGATTCATACTTTATCATTGAATCTCTTGAACACTTCCTTGGAGGGTTATGGGGTAAGGAAATTCGTTGAACCTTGATAACATAGCTTAAATCCACATCGAAACCGTTTGAATTGGATCGTATATCAAAGAATTACTATGGTCTTTACGTAATGCTTGATAACTTCTAATGTTCTGTAGGGAATCAGCTTACTGTGCATGTCATGGAACAAATGGAAATGACCTGTCTGTTTGAGGTTTGGCAAAGGTAAACCCTGTGGTGACGAACCGGGCTGAGATTGTCTTGGAGGCAACTGTTACATTGGTTGAAACTACTGCAATTGCTGACCTTGAATAACAGGCATCCCGACATTAACCGAAGGAACGGTACGTCCAGATTGTCGTGGTGTCATTGGAACAATCAGTTGCGCTTCCTGGATTTGACTTATGTACTCTGTATTTCCTTATGCAGGTTTGGTTTCAAAGTTTTTGCTCACGGGCGAAGGAATACGACAGCGGCATCATATGGAAAAAACGGGTTAATCAGCAGACGACTTGGCGTTCAGGTGTATCGAGATTTTCTGTGACAGGTGACTTGCGAATTGGAGTCGATGTGTGGCCTGCTGTCCGTGCTGCAATGGAGTATATGGAGTAGTTTGATAGAGATGCTAATGGTCTTATTGAGAATGACGGTCTCTTTGATCGAACATATGATACATGGACTGTCCCGGGTATGAGTGTTTACTGTGATGGCCCATCAACTAGGTGACAGAGTTTTTGCGAAACAAGCAGAAGGAAGATTCTAGAGGCTAAACCAGTATTTGAACAAAAGTTGGTGAATGGTTCTTGTTTCAACTATGATAGTGGGTCAATTGGCAGGGCAATGGTATACAGCGTCTTCAGGACTGTCCTTTTTTTTGATGATTTCGAGATCAAAAGTTTCCTCCGGGAGGTTTATGCTTTCGATGTGATGAAAGTTAAAGGTGGCAGGATGAGGGCTGGAGATGTTTGAATCATTTTAAGGGTCCTTCAAAACTCTTTATGTATTGAATCACCATATTTCCACCTTTTTCTGGGCAATGTAATAATTGGAACCTTTATATGATTACCGTACATTCGTAGTATGCTGCGGTTTCACTTTTGATATAGTTCCAGTCCAGTGCTAATTCTTTACTAATTGAAATTGTAAGTATGAATTGACTTGAATTTTGAATTTGGAATGGGGCAAAATTTTTAATCAATTAGAAGCTTTGGTCTTGTTATCTTGAAATAGATTTAACTTGGTAGTGGTGTTATGTCCTTCAATTTGAGTGGATTTAGTAAGCTCTGAGTTATCTTGGATCTTTGAGTGGTGGCGAAAGTGAAATGCGCCTCCTTAAATTGTTTAAATGTTCAAAACGAAAGAGAGCCCATAATATTCATCCCATATGATGTTACAACCTTGCGCAATTGGTTCTTCAACAGATTCTGAATTTGTATCCTTGAAATAAACAAACTTGATGTGAAATTCTCTGAGTTCGTAAGTTGGGCATTTGGAAGTGAATGATAATCTTGGTTGAAAACGGGCCCCTGGATGATAGCAATAAAGTGTAACGAGCCTTGAATTGTTAGACTTGTAATGGACTTTGGACCTGATACGAACTCTTATTTGTAAAATCCTCGGATGGTGCAAAAGAATCTCCCAATATTATCTTATTGAACTTGAATTCATGAGGTATAAGTACTTATCCATTTATTGTGAATTATGCCCTGCACCAAACGGTTAGCCGTAACAAACATATACATAAAAAGTGAGAGAGAAAAAAAACAACGAAAGGGTGGGTCTTAAGGTCAAAAATTAGGGTGCAACAGCAGCCAAAATTTGCCCTCCACACCCCCCCTTGAGGAAGCATCCATCTCGACCAATTACATGTCTACACAACTTAAAGCTTTCCGTACATGCAACATAACATATGTAAATCCTTCAAAAATACGGCCTGTGATCCTCAACATCTTCTTGTACATGATCAACATTGATCTTAATAGTTCATGACAGTAGTCATAGACCCTTGTGTAATCTCCCAAAAAAGAACCATCAACATAATCTCTGGCTGCAAATCTTGCTGTTATAACTTTGGTTTTGTTGACCCCTACATTCCATTTTTTGTGTGCCTTCTCCTTGATATTCTTGGATTGTTTTTCAAGCTATTCAGAATTCTTTTGCTCAATTACTTTGTACTCATCAGCTTCACATCATACTCTTTACTACAATTGTGTTTGTCAATTACTTTCCTGAGTTGCCAAGTGTCTTCATCTGACAACTTGCTACAATAAGCCTCCTACTCACAACCAACTTTACGTTTAACCTTTACCCCAACTCTGTCATTTTTTACAAACCTTAGGCTCTCTACCATTTTGCACAACATAAGATGTTATTGCTTCCTTAAAATCACCCTTTGAACTAAAATACATTCCCACATCCACTTGTAATCTGACATGTCTTTTGGCTGTTTGAAAATTGGATGCTTTTTTTTAGAACTCCACTACTATCACCACTATCACAACCACTTTGCATGTCCTCATTGTCATTGTCACTCCCTTTATCTTCTACAAACTTTTCATTAAGTTTTTGGACTTTTCCATTACCATCACTTTCATACCCAATTAGGGTATCAAGTTCATCCTCCTCAATCTCATCATACCCATCATACTCATTCTCAAAAGCCACTTCTTGTGCACTATCATAATTGTAATCCTCATCTTCACTATCATCAGAACTTAAGTCATCACTATTTACACAAACTTTACCTTGTTCAACTCCAACATTACATTCCTTCACTGCAGGTTTAACTTGTTCAACTCCAACATTAATTTCTTCAACTCCAACAGTACGTTCATCCACTGCAGGATTAACTTGATCAACTCCAACATTACCTTCCTCCAACCCAACAATGACTTGATTAACTCCAACATCACCTTCCTCCATCAAAACAGTGGTTTGTTCAACTCCAACAACTTCATCATGCAATTTACTAAGTAACTCCTCCACCTCATCTACAATTTCAGCAGGGCACTCATCAACATTATCAACAACAACATCACAACAGTCAAGTTGAGACAAGGTGTGTTAAATGTAAATATCAACACTTTGGTGCACCCTATAAAGATCTGCAATTTCTAAAGCACATTTGTCATCAACAAGTGCATTCATCCCAAATTGAGGGTCCTTGTAATATATTGTTTCAAACTCTTTATAACCCAAGTCTTTCAATACACCAACTAGCTCAAAATAACTCCATTTATCTACATCTATAACTCCATTCTCATATACACCAAGACGTTCATCGGTGAATTCACCACTATGATGGATTTTGAGATTTATGTGTTCATCCATGATACATAATCATATTATCTAAATAATTAGAGTTTACACTAAAAAATGTACATAAGCCCTAAATCTGAACATAACCAAATATTGTCCTATGAGATTCGTAAACTCTAAATCAGAAAGAAATGAACTAACCTTTTGATAAACACTTCTTGAATCGTCTTCAATCCTTCGCGTTAGCAACAATTCTTTGCGCCCTCAATGCGTCGCTTCAATCTCTTGCATTTACCCTAATATATCTACAATCCTTTGGTATTCTGGGTAATGAAAAGCAAGTTCCACTCGAATTTGTTTTAACACATCTTATATCAACGTCAACAACATACAACCCACCTGGACAAATGTGACACCTGTTTTCAAACTTTGACTAACAACAATAGACAGAAGGATAAACATGACACTATTTTAAAAATTAAAAAATCAACTTGTCACTTTTTAAATTTAAGAGACTAAACTGAACCTCAACCTAAATTAAAGGATGGAAAAAATTATTTTGCCATTTTTATACTACTCTCTCTTTTTTTTTTTTCTATAACACACCTTTTCTATTTTTTTTTTCTTTCTAATCTTTTATTTATTTTTTTTCTTTCTAATCTTTTATTTATTTTTTTCATTCTTTTTTATCTTTTCGTATCAATTACACATGTATACGGGTATCCCACCGTTTACTTTGTAAGGGTTGGGTGCGTAGGCGTGGTTTAAGCAAATCTTTCGTCCTGACTTTCACTAAAACCCATCCGGAGGATAACGGTGCTTTTACTGTACAAGTGCAACAATTCCGTTGCTACTACTTCAATGCTTCCACTTGAATTCAGTTCATCCTCAATGCATATCTAAACTCATTCCTTCTTCTCACAATTCACATGGACTCAATCCCCTCTTCTTCTTCTTCTTCTTCACTTCATTCACTACAACGACTCCCTTCTCGATTTTCACCACGTTTACCTTTCACATCCTTTCGTCCCCTTCCAAATCAAAAACCTCGAAACCTAACCTCACGCACTTCAATCACTTTCACCGCAAAGCAACGAAACGAAACCGTTTTGGCAGTTACTCGCCAAAACCAGGAGGAGCGAACAACTTTATCCAAATGCTTAACAAAAGAGCTTGTTCGCTCTCTATTCTGTTTTGCCATCGGAGTTTCCGCGCTCGGAGCGTTCCGAATTGCGCCTGCGTTGGCATTTCCAAATATACCCTGGGCTATTTTTTCTTTTAAGAAAAAAGTGAAGAGGAATAGTCATGAATATTGTGATTGTACTCAGAGAGTGCTGGATACTATTTCGGGTTTGTTGAGGAGTATAGAAGAGGCTAGGAAAGGGAATGGTGATATGGAGGATGTGAGGCGAGCATTGAATGCTGTGAGATTGGAGAAGGAAAAATCAGAGAGAGAGATTTTGGAGAGGGTGCATCCGCAATTGATGGATTTGAAGGAAGATTTGCAGAAATTGGAGTTACAGGGAATGGAGATTTCGGAGCAGATAGATGCGGTGAAGCGGGAGTACGATAGGTTGACGGGGGATGAGTTAGATGTGGAGAAGGTGGTGAATGAGGTGGAGGAGAAAATGTTGGAGCAGAGGATGGTTGAGTTGGTGAAGAATTACAATGAGAATTCGAAGAAAATAGGTGAGATGGAGGATGTGATTTCAAGGAAGGAGACAGTGGCTTTGAGTTATGGGGTGTTGGAAGTATTGTTTATTGAGAGGGAATGTGAGAAGCTTGTGGAAAGATTCAAACAAGAAGTGAAACAGAAGGAATTCGAAAGGTTGGGTCGCTTGCTTTGATAACTTGTTAATACATTCTTTACATTATCATGTTTGTTTCTGCGTGTGGATATTCGTTACTTATGATTCTAGTTTTATCTTGTAATTTTCTCTGTGTAAGATTTGATATGAAGGCTTTTGTGTTCCAATAGTTAAGGATGGACGTTAAAATATTTAGGCAGCGGCTTCTCCACCCTTTAAAGATTTTGGGATACTTGCTGTATCTTCTTGCTATAATTTATTTACATAGGTGAATGGCTTAATTGAAATCTTGAAGAGGAAGGGCTTAATTGAAGTCTTGAAGAGGAAGTTGACTTTACATATTGACTGAGATTGGATCTTATCTCTTGAAATTGTTTTTGAATCGGAAAATCTTAGAATTAAGGTCAGGAAGTACTGTTGGTATCGTTAATTTAATCAATTTGACTCACATCACAATTACAAAATTTGTCGTCAGTGTGGACGCGAAATCTTTATTGGTTTAATAATGTACTGTCATGCTAGTTAGTTTCGGTATTATTCCTTTGAAACTGTATATGATTGTGCAAAACATTTGTCATGTGGTTGCAGTTCACTTGCAAGCTCAGTCAATGGGCTCTCCAAATCCATTGTTCAGAAAGATTTGGAAACTGTGCAAAGAAAACATTTAGAACAAACTATTCTTCCTAGCATTGTGGATGTTGATGATCTTGGACCATTCTTTCATCAAGACTCTGTTGATTTTGCCCAGCGTTTAAAAAGAAGTCTTGAAGACTCAAAGGAGCAGCAGGAGAATTTGGTGACCCAGATAGGCAAAAATATGAAGTATGACAAGGAAAAGCGTAGTATTGTTTACTCACCAGAAGAGGAGGTGGTTAAGGGTCTACTGATTTTTATGTTGCATGAATGATTCTTTGGAATAAAAGAAACAAAATACCTTTAATGCTGTTAACTCACTAGAACGGGTCATTAGACTGGTCAAATTGTGATGCAAATTTGTAGTTAATTAAATATCCTATACATTATATTTGATTCTCATGTGTTTTTCTCTAGACATCAATGATGACATGTTGATGGCAGATATATTATTTTTAACATATGTTTTTGTGCATGAAGTTGAATTGATCCTTTAATTGTGCATCAAGCATTACTGCGTTCCTTTCACTACTTACTACTTATCCATTGCAGGAAACGATTCTTTTGGACCGGGATAGAGTAATATCGAGGACTTGGTACAATGAAGAGAAAAATAGATGGGAGATGGATCCAGTGGCTGTCCCTTATGCTGTCACAAAAAAGCTAATAGAACATGTCCGGATTAGGGCCGACTGGGGTGCCATGTATATTGCATTGAAGGGGGAGGACGAAGAATTTTATATAGACATAAAGGTATAGCTGTGTATGCATCTGTGTATATTCTATTTCTTAATATTTTTTTTTTTTTTTGATTTCTTGTCTGGTGATTATTTGTTTGCTTTCATATTTCAGGAATTCGAAATACTTTTTAAAGATATTGGGGGTTTTGACGGGCTATATAGGAAAATGATAGCCTGTGACATTCCAACAGCTGTTCATCTAATGTGGATTCCTTTATCAGAATTAAAATTGCGCCAACAGTTTTCTGTGATATTAAGGCCCCCTCGTTTGTTTTTGAGCGACCAGTGGAATTCCGAAGCTGCCTTGACTGCAAGAAGTTGGTTCTTTGACACGATTAAGGACATAACTGATGACCTAATGACGGTTATAGGGTTTCCTGTTGTGGAATTATTACTCCCTAACCAGGTATCTTTGAGCTCAAAACTTGCCATTTGCTAATTCTGACAATTGACTTTTGTTGGACTTTCCGCCTTAATTGCGGCCCGCCCCTAGTCGCCTTAATTGCAGCTCTTTGGCTTGCCTCATTGCAGCCACTAACACCTTCATCGTGTTAGCTTTGAAGGGGTGGATTTAGTCTCACATTGCTTAGAGATATGGTCCGTGTTGTGTTTATAAGTGGGGGTAATCCTCACCTTACAAGCCGGTTTTGTAGGGATGAGTTAGGCCCAACCCAAATTCTGAGATGGTATCAGAGCCTATCCTAGATCTATTGTTGGGCTTCCCGCATCGTCCACGCTTCAGGCTCATTGAGGCCTAAGCGTGAGGGTGTGTGTTGGACTTTCCGCCTTAATTGCGGCCTGCCCCTAGTCGCCTTAATTGCGGCTCTTTGGCTTGCCTCATTGCAGCCCCTAACACCTTCATCGTGTTAGCTTTGAAGGGGTGGATTTAGTCTCACATTGCTTAGAGATATGGTCTGTGTTGTGTTTATAAGTGGGGGTAATCCTCACCTTACAAGTTGGTTTTGTAGGGATGAGTTAGGTCCAACCACACATTCGAGAACTTTGAATAACACGTTTTTGAAACATTTGTTGTATTTATGATTCAGGTGAGGGTAAAATTGGGGATGGCTGGGACAGAGGAATGGGCAATGGACACTACATGGTTCTTGAAATGGCAATTAAATGCAGAAACAAGGACTAACACCAGGCGAACAGGAAGTGAAATTCAATGGTTCTTTTTGTTTATCACAAGAACTGCTATTTCAGGATTTGTTATATTTCACTTGTTCAAATTTATGAGGGGAAAAATTCCAAGACTTCTTGGTTATGGTCCTGTGTCTGTGCGAAAAAATCCTAATAAGAGGAAACTTGGGCTAGTGGTATAAGTTTGTTCTTGCATTTAGTATGTGTTCAATTTCTACCTAATTTTCTGATTGTTATCATCTACAATCCTATTCTATATTTGTGTATGTACCACTTATTTCAAGTTTGATGTTGTGCTGTCGTATTATGCTGTATTAGTGTTCTACTTAATTTAAACTGATAGCTTGCAAAAGCTGCATTCTCTTTGGATACAGGATGCTCTTTCAGTTTAGCTCCATAGACTGTTAAGCAATTTGTGTTCATTGAGTTTGTTATGATAAGAATGTGGATTTTACTTTTGTGTGCATTGCATGATTCTTGAATTATCTCAAAACCTCCTCATTATCATGCCACCCCCTATCACAAGTCCCAATCAATGTTGCTTCTGCTTCATCCTCTTTGACCTGAGTTAAGGCCCTCAAACCATAATGGTTGCAACCAGAGTATGCTTAACATATTGGTTGTATAGTATTGGATAGGATATCGGTTAAAATTGTGTTTATAAGTTGACAACATTCCTCACCTTACAAGTTGCTTTTGTAGGATTGAATTAATCATAACCCAAATCTTAAGATGCTATCATAGCCTATCTAAGATCTCTTGGGCCATCTGCCGTCAGGCCACTTGGGTCATGTTCTATAAGTGGGAGACATCATTGACCTTACAAGCCGATTTCATAGGGTTGAGTTAGACTTAACTCAAATTTGAAGATATCATCATAAATGTTATTAGAAAGAATGTAAATAGGGTAATTATGGTTGTATAGTATTGTGTAAATATAGCAAACAAGACAATGTTGCTCTTTTTATTTACTGTGATTCCGAATATATATAATATAGTTCTGTTGTATAATGCACATATTCTCTTACATATTTCTCGTTTTCCTTTAACTCTAAATGTTTATACTAAAATATGTAAAATTAAATCTTTTGGGATATAATCACTTTGCATCCATTTGTATTGCTTCTTCGCAAAGATGTGATAGATAGATAGATCGGTAGATAGATAAATAGATGATAGAGCTTAAGAGACCACTTTGCAACTTATAATTAGGCATTATAATTATAATTTTTGTTACTCTTTTTCAGGCGTATTACTTTGAAAAAAGATGGAGAAGCATGAGGAGTAAGAGAAGGGAGGGTGTCGATCCCATAAAAACAGCTTTTGAGCACATGAAGGTTAGAACATGGCAATTAATTATTTTCTGTCTTAGTACTGTTAACAATTCATCTATGAAAAACTGTAAGACTTATAGCTGTTCTGCAGAGGGTGAAGAAACCACCAATACCATTGAAGAACTTTTCTAGCATTGAGTCTATGAAAGAGGAAATCAGTGAAGTTGTAAGATTTTTGCAAAATCCAAGGGCATTCCAAGAAATGGGAGCGCGGGCACCTCGGGTATGATGTAGCATGAAGGTTTTTCAATATGACCAGCATTATTGTCCTTTTTCTCTATTTTAGCAGCAAAATGGGGACATAAACATTTTGTTTATCAACTTTCAGATTCTTCCTGTTCCACTATAGTTTGGTGCACATTTTTTTTTTTCAATTAGAGAAACTTAAACATTACTCAAAAATGCTAAAGTGAACCCTGTTTTTTGGTTCCATTAAGAGTAAGAAAAGCTATAGGGTCTTACGTCAATTATTCTTCTTAAAAACTGAAAAAATTGAAGTACCTTCTTCCATTCATTGTTGTATGCTTCATCATACGCAACATTTGTTTCTTGTGTTTTCCGATGAGTTTCGTGAATAATCATTTATTATTATTCATATAAGATAAAGTGAAATGTAAGACAACACAGATTGTATATCATTTTTCATTCAGAGGTTCCCTTCTTTCAATCAATTCTATTAAGCTCTTAATTTTCTCGCCATTTTGAGTCCATCAATACCAGCCTTGATGTTAGGCAACCCACATATCTCTCGTCTCACAATCTTTACATTCTGGACGTCCAATCTAAGTTTGGGGAGTGTGGTAAGATCTCACATTGGCTAGATACATTGCCAAAATGCCCCGTATAATAACTTAGACAATCCTTTCCCCTTGACTTAGCTTTTAGGGTTGATTAGGCCAGACCTATTCTCAATTCTAATCATTTCATATCAAAGTAAACTCGTGGTTTAGTGTCATTTCAAACGCTCTCATAGTTTAACAATTGTTAAATACACTATGGTTAGCAGATGTCTATTAATTGCTAAGATCCACATCTGGGAACTTTTTATATTGCAGGGTGTACTTATTGTAGGTGAGAGGGGTTCTGGCAAGACGTCGCTAGCATTGGCTATAGCTGCTGAGGCTAAGGTGCCTGTTGTTAAAATTAAGGCCCAACAATTGGAGGCTGGAATGTGGGTTGGGCAAAGTGCATCCAATGTTCGCGAATTGTTTCAAGCAGCTAGAGATTTGGTTATACTCTTTAAACCACCTTAATATCTACTATTATTACAGTCTTCTCAGTTCTTACCTTTTATTGTTTATATTTCTACATTTATTTTATGGGTCTTGCTAACCAGTGCCCTCAGGGCACTATTTAAACATTCCATATTAAGAAATTATTCTTTAAAAAATTCAAACACTTCAATTTTCAATGCAAATTATTACACATCATTGCACATATTTTTATAAAAACTTACTATTTAAAGTTTTAAAAAGTGCCCTGAGGGCACTGGTTAGCATTTCTCTTATTTTATTTGAATCAAATAAGTAATTAATCAGAAGTTGCCCATGGGGTGTCAATTCAGTGGTTAGAGTTTGACCTTGTAACCTCAAGGCAAATAGTTCAAATCCCCTGGAGACAACTGTAAAATGACAATTTGAGCCACTTTAATTAATATACTAATAATAGTTTCTCTCTTCCCAATAATCTTTTATTAATAAAAGTAACTAGTCAGAAGTAGATATATTGCTCACAAGAAAATATTTTGGTCTAAATGTCTGTTAATATTTTTACTTTGTATTAGCAAGTTTCATTTGGCTTTTGGTGTTACGAATTGTTGATTTAAAAAATCTGCTCAATTTATTTATTATTCATGTGTTCTGATAGTTATGTAAGTCATGTGTATATGTGTATTTGTACCATTACTTTTGGAACTGGACAAAGCTAGTCCAATGATTAATGAGCCCTACTTCTGCTTTGGTTGCCCCCCAAAAACTGAAATGGGTCAAAACCCAGTCAAGGCCAGGTGGCCCTAGATACACTAAAAATATATTCAGTTTTTTAGATTCCATCTGATATCATGTGTGTCAGGTTTATTATTAAAATATAATTTTGCTAGGTTGAAAGAACATTATAGAATATATTCCCTCTATCTCAAATTATAAGTCATTTTGTAAAAAATAAAAAAAAAACTGTTCCAAATTATAAGTTGCTTTACTATTCCAATGCAACATTAATGATTTTTTTTTCCTAATATACCTTCTACTATTTATTACTCTCTCTCCTTCCAATTATTTTAATTTCTCTTTCCTATATAATTAATGAATGACAATATTGTAAAGTCATCCATAATTTCTATTTCCAATACAAAATTAATTATACTCCTTAATCCGTGTGAAATGGCTAAAATGACTTATAATTTGGGAAGGAGGGAGTATTTATTTGGATATTAGACAAGTATGATAATGTTCTAATACCGTTCATCTATTTTTCTGGTTTGAGCTCTATACTTGTGGCCAAACTATTTAGAATGTCAATCAATTCTCTATGGTTTAATATCTTGTTGTTTTCTTAGCTTGGTTTTAATTTATGCACGCTGGTTGCATGAGTTTCTTAATCTTTAGTCCGAGATTATCTCTTTTCCTGATTTGTTTGATGGCTACTTGTAGGCTCCTGTAATATTGTTCATAGAGGATTTTGACCTGTTTGCTGGTGTACGTGGCAAATTTATCCACACCGAAAATCAAGACCACGAAGCTTTCATTAATCAACTGCTTGTGGAACTTGATGGGTATCTATAGTTTTTTTGACTAGTTGAGAATGATGGTATGCTTGTATGTACATATTTGCTGACCATTGTTTGTTATACTATGCAGATTTGAGAAACAAGATGGGGTTGTTTTGATGGCTACTACAAGCAATATCAAGCAAATTGATGAGGCCCTGAAGAGGCCAGGTCGCATGGATAGAATATTTCATCTTCAAAAACCAACACAGGCGGAGAGAGAAAACATATTGTACTCTGCAGCGAAGGAAACCATGGATGATCAGCTGATTGATTATGTGGACTGGAAAAAGGTTTATAACAATTTTTTTTTTAATAGTAACATACATATTTTTAACGAACAACTTGAAAAGTTCAACTATGGGCATTATAAGATACCCAGCAAAACAGAAAGGTGAGATACAACAAAGAACAAGAAAAATGTTGAATGCTGCCAGACTATCTCTTCATATTGGAAATGGTGACTCTACTTAAACAGCTCTAAGTAAAGCAACTAAGAGAAGCAATAAATAAAATCCTATGCCGAACAACCAGCGACAACCAGGTGAGTGAGCATTTCGGAGAGAAGCAATAAATAAAACCCTTTGCTGAACAACAAGTAACAACCATATGTGTGAGCATTTTGCTCCAACTAAATACACTTATGAACTGCATAAACTTGTTACCTTTATGACAAAACTGCTCCAAAGTAGAGGGAGTACAACGTAAAAACACGAGTGGTTTACTGTCTTTGATTCCTATCCACACTCAAGTTCTATTTTTAAGATGAAAATAAATATTCAGAATGTCAATAGCTTTTCGACATGCTTATCCAAACACATAACATATTATTTTAAGTGCCTGTGGCATAAGTTTTCATATGATAATAGATGCTTATTGACTAAGGCATTTGATTAAGCAATATTCCCCATATCTCATATGTGGATAGCTTATAGAATGAGAATACTTCATTTGATCCCATGAACACATGGATTAAAAGAAAATGAACAATGATGAGAATGGAGGACAGTAAGAAATTAAGAATGATGAAACAAAAGAACTTGGCTGGGTTCATAACTGATAACTGACATTTTAATAGTCTAACTTAATAAAAGATAGATCAATCCATCAAAATATAATCCTTAATTGCTGTTGACTAGTTTGTTGGTACTTGATTACGACTAATGTTTGCTCCTATCTCTGGACTAAAAAAGATACTCATTTTCAGGTTGCTGAGAAGACATCTCTTTTACGACCTACCGAGTTAAAACTTGTTCCTTTGGCTCTAGAAGGAAGTGCCTTCCGGAGCAAAGTTCTTGACACAGATGAACTAATGAGCTACTGTAGTTTCTTTGCAGTAAGAATTGTGTTCTTTATTTTCACATTACCGTTAAAATAGGAAAATATTGATTTTTTGTCATTCAGTCATCACCATGTGTTGATTTTTTCTATCCTTTCCCTCTAATCCTCCTCTCCCTAGCTAAAAGCTGGATATGGTTCTAGGTTTTTGTGCTGTCAATTGCAAATGGCCTCACTTTACAAATCAAGCCAGCTGACACACCTAACTAATAACTAATACATACAATGTTCATATTTGTTTATATTACTTTGTACTTATGCTTGAAAAAATAGCCTTAAATGTATGCTAGGTGACCTGCCTTCAACAAAAGAATAAAATTTTCCCTAAAATGCTTTCTTCAGTTTGTCATATAGCAATGAGATAACGACTCATATCATTTGTCAAGTTACTTTTTTCTGTTTACTTTGCTTTTCATTTAACAAGAGTTAATGTATAAGCAGACTGAAGAACACTGTTGCATTATTGTTCTTTCTACTTTTTATTTTTCCGTATATATTTCAGATCTTTCTTTTGCAACATATTTTATATCTATTTTTCATGTAGTTTATGTGCAGGAAATGAAATATACTTATTACCTTTGCTTAGACTTTCAGTTCCGTGATGCCCCAATGGCTGAGGAAAACCAAAATTGTCAAGAAAGTAAACAAAATGTTGGTGAATCACCTGGGATTGACATTAGCAAAAGAAGATCTTCAAAATGTTGTTGATTTGATGGAACCATATGGCCAGATAACCAATGGGATAGAGCTTTTGAGCCCTCCTCTTGATGTAAGAAACTATCATCTCCATAATGTTTATTATGTGGTTAACTTTCCTTGGACAGTATCCTCTAGTGTTATCACTGACTTTCTTCGTACATTTTTTAATTGAACATAATTGCAATATAATTTCTTCTGTTGCTACCAAAAAAAATAACGGGTAAAGTTTCTTTGTTGTTAGTGGACGAGGGAAACTAAGTTTCCACATGCTGTCTGGGCTGCTGGTCGCGGTCTTATTGCTCATTTATTGCCAAATTTTGATGTTGTTGAAAATCTTTGGCTTGAACCTCAATCTTGGCAGGTCAGTCTTATTCCATTCCTGGCCTGCTTTGTATAACCTTCCAATGCTCTGCTTGATTGTTGAAAATTATGTGCTATCGAAAACTTCATGTACCTTGTATAACTTTTGAGTGTCTACTGTATAATCTACAAGTAGGACTGTCATTTAATGTTTTTCACTACTCTAAAAGAAATTGGGGCCTGTATTAAATGTTAATTGTATGTTTGAAAATGCACTAATGAGAACTTCAAATTTGCTCCCATTCCTAGATGAACAAGAAATGCAATAGCTTTCACCTTTACTTTAAATATCTCTTGTAATTGTTGAATGTCGAATGTATTAGATCTCGAATGTGTTTTTGTTTGTGTGGCAAAAATGATATTTTTACCATGAAGTTTAATACCATAAGGTTGAAAAGAAAGGGAGATGGGCACCTAGCAGCATAGGAAAAACTTAAAACAAATCTTAGAGATAAGAAAAGAAAAATATGACTGTCACCCATCTTGTTGATCCTGCAGGCTACACCCCTCCACCAATTTTCTCATTTCTATATGTTAGATAGTTGAGACTAACTCATCCCTACAAGACGGGATGTGGGGTGCTACTCTATAAACCCTTTTTATACTCTATTTTTAACCAATGTGAGACTTGAGTTTTTCCCAATGCACCCCTTACGTCCGTCACTATTAGGCTTGATGTGTGAATATGAATGGTGGGTGGCTCAAATTGTCGATATGTGAGACTTGGTTTTTCCAATACACCTCCATACGCCCAATACTATTGGACTTGGTGCGCATATATAAATGGTGGGTGGCCCCAAATCAATATGCTCTTGATACCATGTTACAATCTTAGAATGTGTGGGTTGGGCATAACTCATCCCTAGAAAACCAAGTTATAAGGTTAAGGCTGCCAAGCTTTATAAAAAGCTACACAAGCCATTTATTTAAGTAATGTGGGACTAAATCCAACCCTTGGAGGTGCCAATGAAGACAAGCCAAGTGCTGCAATTAGGCGACTAGGGGCGGACCACAATGAAGACAGAATTTCCAATGAGCTTGAAGCGTGGATGATGCGGGAAGCCCAACAAAACTAGGATAGACTCTGATACCATCTTAGAATGTGTGGGTTGGGCCAACTCATCCCTACAACATCGACTTGTAAGATGAGAGCAGCCCAAACTTTATAAACACTACACATGGCATATCTCTAAGCATTGTGAGACTAAATTCACCCCTTCAAACCTAATACATTGAAGGTGTTGGAGGCTGCAATGAAGGCAAGCCAAGTGTCCTAGTTAAGTGACTAGGGGCGGATCGCTATGAAAGCGGAATTTCCAATACTATATATGTTCTCCCACTCCCTCTGAAATGTCACCAGTCTTCATTCTGTTATAATTTTCCTTCATTGCAAACTTTTGGACACATATCTTGCCCCAATGACTATCCGACATCATCATGGTTGTTACAGTTCTTTTTGTCTAGGCCATTTCAGGAAATCGTAAGAGAATCACTAGGAGATTTGATTCTCTTCTCCCTGATTTTATTTTATGGTGTTTGATTTGATTCTAATCTGATTTGATTTGTGTTTATCTCCTTCCGTTAGTAGTCTTAATTATTGAAACTGCAATTATTGTAATTTGTCACATATAAACAGTTCTAGACTACAATAGTTAACATGAATGTATTTTCCCCACTACTTTCTACAGGAATTACAACCAAGTCTTTTTATTAGCAAAAAAGAAAAAAACTGACTTATCTTGTTCCCTTAAAATGACTGGTAGTTTATAATATTTTCTTATACAGGGAATTGGATGTACGAAAATCACGAAAGCAAGAAATGGTGGTTACATCAAAGGGAATATAGTATCAAGATCTTATCTTGAAAAGAGGCTTGTATTTTGTTTTGGTTCTTATGTTGCATCCCAAATGTTATTTCCTTTTGGGGAAGAAAACTTACTGTCTTCATCTGAGATACAGAAGGCACAAGAGGTTGGCTAATATTTTACTTGGTGCAACTCAAATATTTTCTTGTTTTTTGTTTAATTGCTTTGAAAATAATATAATTACTTGTTACAAAGTATTGTGACTATGAAGTCTCTGATTGACTTTTTTATAACAGATAGCTACGAAAATGGTCATTCAATATGGATGGGGACCTGATGATAGTCCTGCAATATATTACTGTAATAATGCGGTATAAACCTTTCTTACACGCTTCTCAACTGTCATTGATTTGGTTGTAATGCATATAGGTCGTGCAGTGTTGAATTTGTGATTTCATTGCCTCAATGAGACAACATTCACCTTTATTTATAATAGCATGTAAAATAAATGCCACTCCCTCTGTCTCATAATAATTGTCACATTTGCAAAAGAAAAGTGTCCCAAAAAGATTGTCATTTTTAGTTTCCACTGCCTCATTAGTTTTTTTTTTCTTCTTCAACAGTACCCTCTAATTAATACTATAAACATCTAACATTTTCCACTTTGCATTCATGACAATTGAAATATAGCAATAGTTAACATGGATAATTGTGTATCACCATTCTCGTTCATTCATTTATCATCTTCTATTAATTTGTGTGAAATGGTCAAATGCGATGAATATTGTGGACGGAGAGAGTAATTGATTTGAGTTGTAAATTTTAATCCTAATAATAAGTATTAGGATTTGATTTTGATTCTGACATGTAGCAATTCAAATCAGATTGAATTATTTATTAGGGTACTTGAAGCTTACTTTTGACATAGCACAACAATATTAATGTCTAGTTCTAAAAATGAGACCATTATGGTTAGGGTGGTTTTTTTAGCAAAAATAATTTACTGAATTGTTAACAAGGAGAAATAACATAAAATGGTAGATTAGGCAATCTCCCAAAAGACTATAAGTGCAATTGAACTTAAGGTTTTAAGTTCTGATAAAAACACAAGAATGGAACAGAAATGAAAAGGATGAAAATAGAAATTTATATAGATAATTTTGGAATATTACAACTCAGGTTTTCGAGAGCCTGTCTCTCCTAATTCAAATTCTTCCTAATTTTCCAGAATGCTTTTCTAATTCTGGTTTGCTTCTATTTATACTCTATTTAATATCTGTTCCTAATTGGTACAATTAATCTGAAGGGTTGTGACTGTTAGATTTGATGCTGTTTGGTTCCAAGGGCTGCATCCTTTTGGATGGGTGTGTCTATTCACCAAGGGTCACGCCCCCTGATTCGCATCTCTTGATCTTACACTCCTTGGACATCGCTGCCTGCGGGTGTAAAACTTGGTGATGGGTGGCCTAGGCTTATCAATACCCCCGCCTAAAAGACTCACCTTGTCCTCAAGGTGATAATCTGGGAAGACCTCTTGTAATTTAGCCACAGATTCCCAACTATTTTCACTTGTAGAGAGATTTTGCCATTTAACTAAGACTTCCACGTTGCCAGGTTGTAACTCACGAATATCTAAAATAGCGTCCGGATAAACTTGTAATTCCTGATCCTCAGATAGCATAGGTGGTAAAGGTTGTGATTGGAAAGAGTCACCAATGGCCTTCTTGAGGAGAGAGACATGAAAGACTGGATGAATTTTACTGTGAGATGGAAGATCCAATTTGTAAACAACAACACCCACTTTTTTTAACACCAGGAAAGGACCATAAAATCGAGGGGAGAGTTTTTCATTAATCCTTTTAGCCAAGGATCTTCTCTTGTAAGGTTGCATCTTCAAGAACACCCAATCACCGATTTCATATTCTATATCTCGGCGGTGTTTGTTGGCATTTGCACGCATGACATCTTGGGACTTCAACAAATTCTCTCTCAGAGCCGCCAATAGTTCATCCCGAGCAATTGTAAGTTTGTTGATTTCTTCAAGGTGGGAAGGAATGGTGGATCCCTTAAGAATGTGAGGTGGATCATGTCCATACAACGCTTTGAAAGGGGACATTTTGCTTGAAGCATTATAATTGGTGTTAAACCAGAATTCTGCCCAGGGAAGACAAGAGACCCATTTCTTTGGCTTAGTACTTGTTAAACATCGTAAATAAACTTCCAAGTATCGATTGACAACTTCCGTTTGTCCATCCGTTTAAGGGTGGTATGCCGAACTGAATTTTAGTTGTGTTCCTGCTGCTTTAAAAAGAGCTTTTCAAAAATTGCTTAGAAACAAAGGATCGCGATCTGAAACAATGGAAGACGGAAATCCATGCAATCTTACAATTTCTTGTAGAAAAACTGCAGCAACATCGGTAGCGGTGTAAGGATGCCCTAATGGTATGAAGTGGGCATATTTGGTGAGCCGGTCAACCACCACCAGAATTGTATCCTTCCCCATGGATTTGGGTAGTCCTCCAATAAAATCCATCGAAATGTCTGTCCATACTTGAGTAGGAATTGGTAATGGCTGTAGCAATTCTGCTGGTGATAAGTTGTCGCTTTTGTTTCTTTGACAGACTTCACAAGCTGCAACGAAATTTTTGATGTCGGTTTTCATCCCTTCCCAATAAACTAGATCTGTTATTCTTTTATAAGTCCTGAAGATTCCTGAGTGTCCTCCTACCAAGGATGAATGGAATTCTTTTAAAATGATGGGAATTCTGGAGGACGATTTGGACAACACCAATTTATTCTTGTAAAATAGTTTCTGATCCCTTAACGTGTAGCCAGCATGAGACATAGGATTGATAATTAGGTCTTGTATGATTTTCTGTAACTTGACATCTTGTTTGATCTCTTCAGCCCATTCCTCGAAATCGTGAATTTGTAAGATTGTCATGGCATAATAAGAACTTCTCCTGGATAGGGCATCGGCAACAGAGTTTTCCTTCCCTGGTTTGTACTGTATTTCAAAATCATATCCTGCTAATTTGGAAATCCATTTGTATTGTTCCTCACCGGTCATCCTCTGATCTGTCAAAAATTTCAAACTTTTTTGGTCCATTTTAATAATAAAATGGTTTTCCAACAAGTAGTGTCGCCATTTCTGGACTGCTTTTACGACGGCCATCAATTCACGTTCATACACTGATTTCTTCTGATTCCTTTCTGATAGGGTAGTACTCCAAAAGGCTAGGGGTCTTCCTTCTTGCATTAGAACAACCCCTAGTCCGGTTCCGCAAGCATCTGTTTCAACCACAAAGGGTTGTGAAAAGTTGGGTACGGCTAATGTAGGCAATTTGGTCATGGCTTGCTTTAGTTGTTCAAAAGCAAGTTGTGCCTCCGGACTCCATTGGAAGGCATTTTTCTTCAACAGGTTGCTCAATGGCCTTGCTATTCTTCCATAGTCATGAACAAACCTCCTATAATAGCCAGTAAGGCCTAGAAATCCCCTTAAGCTGGTGACATCCTTGGGTAAAAGCCATAATGTCATTGCTTCCAACTTCTTAGGATCTGCGGATACTCCTCCAACAGATATAACATGTCCCAGATATTCCAAGTTATCTTGGCCAAATGAGCACTTCTTACCGTTGATCTTCAATTCATTTTGTTGGAGTAACATTAATACTTTTTGCAGATGTTGCTTGTGTTCTTCCATAGTTGGGCTGTATATTAGAATATCATCGAAGAATACCAAAACGTATTTTCGGAGTACTGGCCTTAATATTTCATTCATTAATGATTGAAAAGAAGAAGGTGCGTTAGTAAGTCCAAATGGAAGTACCATAAATTCATAATGACCTTCATGTGTTCGGAAAGCAGTTTTTGCAATATCCTCTTCCTTCATTCTGATTTGGTGGTATCCGGATCTTAAATCCAGTTTTGAAAAGATGTCGGCCCCTCCTATTTCGTCCAACAACTCTTCAATCACCGGGATGGGAAATTTGTCGGGAACAGTGATTTTGTTCAAGGCCCTGTAATCTACACAAAACCGCCAACTACCGTCTTTCTTTCTGACTAGGATGACAGGACTAGAATACAGACTCGTAGATGGTCGGATGATTCCCGCTTCTAACATTTCCGCAACCAATTTTTCAATTTCTGTTTTTTGATAGTGAGGATATCTGTATGGTCTTATATTTGGTATTTGTGCTCCTTCTTTGAGGTGAATGGCATGGTCTTGACGCCGATGAGGAGGAAGTCCTTCTGGGGGTTCAAAGATGGAAGGGAAATCATGTAGCACATCTTTTAATTTCGACGGGATTGAATCCTTCCAATCTATCTCTGCTTGAATATGACGATAATCGATAAGGAACCCTTCGCCTTGCTGCAAAGCTTTCAACATAGAATTAAGTGAGGCGTCTTTCTTTGAAAGTTCTGGTTCTCCCTTTAAAATCACCTTTCTGCCATTAATCTTGAAGCCCAACGTTAGTTGTTCAAAGTTGGCATTAATCTCTCCCAAGCTTGCTAGCCATTCCATGCCTAAAACCACATCCACGCCTCCGAGGCCAAACAAGAAGAATTGTTGTTGTACTTGTACTTCTTGCACTTTCAAGGGAACCTTTTGGCATACTCCCTTACATTTGATTTTGTGACCATCTCCGACTTCTACAACGTATGATGGGGTGTCTTCCATCTCTAATTGTAATTTTTCCACCAGTTCCTTCGAAATGAAGTTGTGGGTGGCGCCGCAGTCTATTAATACTATGTTTTTGTTATCATTAATGCTTCCCCAAACCTTCAAGGATCGACGAGAAGTAAATCCCACAATACTATTCATGGATAATTGGGGCGTTTCTCTAAATTCTGGTTCGGGCTCCTCTTCGGAGTTTTCAACATCATCTTCATCTGTTACTAACATTATCCGAAGTTGTTTGTTTCTGCATACATGAGAAGTGCTCCATTTTTCTTCGCAACGAAAACATTCTCCTTTCTCTTCTCTTGAAGTTCTGCTTCGGTTAATCGTTGAAATCCTCTGGGTTGGTTGCTGTTTTCTGGTTTGTTCACGGATACACTGCCCGCAAAAGAATTAGAAGGGCCATTACTTTTTCCCCCACCTTTCTGACTAACACCATAAGTAATAGTCTTCGAATAGGATGAACTTCGATACGAGTTGTTGAATTTTGAAATTGAGTTAGAAGGCGCATTCGGTCCCCCTTTCCAAATTGCACTATTTTTTTGTTCAATTATTAATGCCTTCTTGACCATGATTGAAAAAGTGGGTGGTTCGTAGAGTTTAATTTCTGCCCCAATGTCTTCCTTTAGCCCGTTCACAAAAATGTCCTTTAAATGTTCTTCATCGACATTTTTCAGCATGCCTGCAAACTTTTCGAATTGTTCAACGTACTCTTCCACCGTTTCTTCTTGTTTAAGTGCAAGGAGGGCAGCAAAAGGGTTGAGAGTGACTGAAGTTTGGAACCTTTCAATAATGACAAGTTTGAAATCTTTCCATCCAATATCAGAATTGCAATTCTCCCACCATTGGAACCAAGATAGCGCCTTTCCCTCTAGAGCCACCATAACTGCCTGAATTTTCTCTTCTTCTAGGATGTCTCTCATTTGAAAGAAGCGTTCCAATTTATTTATCCTGCCATAAGCATCGGATTCTCCGTCGTATATGGTGATTGCCAATTTTCTCCATCGTTCTGTTTTTCTTTCTCCGGTGTGGACCTTGGTTGAATGTTCTCCATTGATGGAACCTTTGGGTGTGCCATCTTCTGACCGCTTGGATAAATTTTCCACCATGGCTTCTAGGCGTGCAAAGCGTGTTTCGAAATGTTGTCGTTCTGCATCTCGGTTTTGTCGGTCCGCCATCAACATTTCCAAAATTCTCTCCATTGTGTCTGGATTTTCGGGATTAGATCGAGTTGTCACCATAGTTGGAAGCAAAGCACCTGGACGGTGCTCTGATACCAATTGATAAGAACACAAGAATGGAACAGAAATGAAAAGGATGAAAATAGAAATTTATATAGATAATTTTGGAATATTACAATTCAGGTTTTCGAGAGCCTGTCTCTCCTAATTCAAATTCTTCCTAATTTTCCAGAATGCTTTCCTAATTCTAGTTTGCTTCTATTTATACTGTATTTAACATCTGTTCCTAATTGGTACAATTAATCTGAAGGGTTGTGACTGTTAGATTTGATGCTGTTTGGTTCCAAGGGCTGCATCCTTTTGGATGAGTGTGTCTATTCACCAAGGGTCACGCCCCCTGATTCGCATCTCTTGATCCTGCACTCCTTGGACATCGCTGCCTGCGGGTGTAAAACTTAGTGATGGGTGGCCTAGGCTTATCAAGTTCCAAGTAAAATGTGCTCTATGCTTGATTTAACGGTAGAATATTTGTTGTTAAGAGTCCCACATCGGACAATATATGGCATGAACATGTGTTTATAAGTGGGGGCAATCCTCACTCTACCAGCCGGTTTTGTAGGGTTGAGTTAGGCCCAACCACACTTCTTAACATGGTATCAAGAGCCTCGTTTAAGATCCGGTGGGCCACCTTCTATGGTTTCCGCTATCGGGCCACCCACCATTTATTTCCACGCTTCAGTTGTCCAATCCTGAGCGTGAGGGGGGTGTGTTAAGAGTCCCTCACGCATTACATACTCTCAAAATCTCCCATAAGTACATTCTTTCATATTTTCCCCATCTGTTGCATTTTACCCTTTTCTTTTAAAAAAAAGGAGTACTACTTTATCTGATACTAGGACTCACTTTATTATCAATATGAAATAATGGAAGATATCTGCATAACTGCGTAAGACAAAATGTTTATCGTCTTTGGTTATTTAATGTTAATATGTGAGTATATTGTAATGCATGCCTATTTTATGTTTGCTGGCATAGGTTTCTACATTAAGCATGGCAGGTGACCATGACAATGTGATGGCCGCTAAAATTGAAAAGGTAGCCACATTTTAGTAAAATTTTAACTTCTAAAAAAAACATCTAATCTAATGTGATCTCTTGTAATGTTTCTAGATCTTTGATTCGGCATATCTCAAAGCAAGAGAAATGCTGCAGAGAAATCGTCGGGTACTAGAAAAGACTGTAGAGGAATTACTTGAATTTGAAGTTTTGACTGGAAAGGTACATAATTAGTGTCTAAGATGTTAAGTTTGGTATTTGTCTACTTGCTTGCTACTTTTCTTAAACATTTAGGTGCACATGTAATACAAATTCTTTTAACATCTAATGGAACGTGAGTATGTATTTTCTATTTTTTGTTGGAAATTCTGTACCTTAAGAGAATTTACCCGTATAGAAACCTAGTCTCTTGATCTTCTGTGCTTTTGCAATGCATTCTCTTATCCTGTTTCTATTTATAGAGCTTGCAAATATTATATGGTATTTTTGTTTGATTTTATGTTTTGCTAAATACAATTTGTTTATATTTTGGTGGCCTGATAGTATTAATCAATCCCTGTATTATTATCATGAGTTATTTTTGTTTATTTAGTCTGAGTATTTTTATTAATAATAACTACACAAGATGCTTTAAAATTTGTATAATGAACTTGGTCGGTTGCATTTGTTTAGTCATCTCCAAATTTCACAGCATTTCTTGATAAAGTTAATTTGATATTCATTCTGTTCTCGTGCTTGGAATACTAAAGTAGCAGTATTATATCCTATATAATCCCAGTATTACATTGAGTTGCCAGTCCAGTGAGCTCATTTGTTGTTGTCCAAGTAAAAATGGTGCCTTCTACTGTTTTCTCCCACATGGTTCTCTTGCAATCTGTTTTATATTGGGCATGACAAAATTCTATGTTCTTCGTAACATAATTACTCACCTTCTAGCAGGGTTTGGAAAGAATTACCAAAGATAATGGTGGAATCAAGGAGAAGGAGCCGTTTACTCTTTTTGAAGTTCAAGCTAGCGAGGTAGTATATGATTGTTATGTTTAAATAAAATTTGGGAGAATTTAATAAAATTTCAGAAGACATTTTTAAGAATTATATTCTGAATGCTCTGGGTTTTTCAATTATATATTCTGCCAATCTTAAAAGAACACATGCTTTTTTTAAAAAAAAATTTACCCCATCACTTAAGGGGAGTCAATATTTTACTTCTCCCAAGCTTTTATGGATTGAATTACATGTCAACCTGAGTTTGCAAACCAGCATACACATATCTTGTGACGCTGAATGTTTGTCTCTTACATGTATACCATTTGTGATGGACGCCGTAACCCAGTACGTCTATCTGAGACAAATCTAACTATTTTCGTTTTTGTTTTCCAGCCAACGTCCGGCAGCCTACTTGAAAGAGGAAATGCATCAGGAGGTGCCTTGCTAGCATCCTAGATAAATCTATTGGGAGTTGTACATTTTGAGGTGATATATTTTTTCAGGGAGGTGAGTTCAGAATTTTCATTTGTACTTGGATAAGCCTGTATAGTTTATAATGTAACACTTATATGGCTATCACGCCTGTGTTCGTTGGGATAAGAAGACCGAGAGCAATTTCCCAACGTCCTGGATTGTAACTTAAATTCTTTATTTTAGTTATTGGATAGAATAATGGTCATAGATAGAACATTACGACAAAAGTTGATCTACGTAACCGACCCCTTTTAGCGGGATAAAGCTTGACTATTGTTGTATAGTTAGTTACTAGACCTTTTATTTTTTTTACACTTCAACTTGGTTAACATTTCATTGTCAGTTTGACAACTCGCACACGGATATATATATATATATATATATATATATATATATATATATATATATATATATATATATATATATATATATATATATACTCCTTGTGGTTGCAATCATTTTGTATTGTTTAGATTAACTTGGAATATCTATTTGAATTTTTTACCCAAATAACTCAATTTTCCAAAAAAATTTCCAAAATACCCTACTTTTCAAAAATATTTCCAAGTAACTCAGTTAGAGTTTGGGCTTACACAAGGGCGCCATTCCAATTGGCGGCCCTTTGATAAGGGCATAAGGGTGTCGCCAATTGGATTGGAGACACCTCATGCAGTCTCCAATCCAATTGGCGACTTGGTTATGGACTTAAAAGGGTGTCGCCAATTCATCTGAAAACTCCTTAGAATTTGAAATTTTTTTACAAAAAATAAATAATATTATAATTAATTAAAAAAAATATTACATAAACTAATGTTGGCGATCGGGCGGGTCATACTGGCCACCGATTCCACATCCCATAGGCATCCTAATTCGTTGCGTTCGGCCTCCTCGTTGTTGATTCACGCCAGGTGTTTGAGGAGTTGAAGTCTCAAGAACATGACCTTTTTGGCGGGTTAGACGTTGAAGCTTCTTGTGCGTAGGTGGTTTGGTGTGGGTCGTATAAATGCCTATCTTCGGAGACAAACTCAGTTGCAACCGATCTGTACCAAGCCATATAATTAATAGTTGTTATAGACAGGGTTGCCATCACCGAGTCATATAAGACATGGGTGCTGCAGTTTGAGAATGTTCCTGAGACTTCAACTCCTCAAACACTTGGCGTGAATCAACAACGAGAGGGCCGAGCGCAACGAGTTAGGGTGCCTAGGGAATGTGGGATTGGTGGCTAGATGAATTGGCGACACTCTTTTAAGTCCATAACCAAGTCGCCAATTGGATTGGAAACTGCATGAGGTGTCTCCAATCTAATTGGCGACACCTTTATGCCCTTAACAAAGGGCCGCCAATTGGAATGGCGCCCTTGGGTAAACCCAAAATTTAACTGGGGTACTTTGGGAATATTTTTGAAAAGTGGAGTATTTTGGGATTCTTTTAAATGACAATATTGGCGGTCTATATGATCTTCATGTGCATTTTACCTACATTTTTTTTGTTTTAAATTGACCGTGGTTCTGAAATCTCGATAACTTCAATCGATAAAGAAAATATGAAATGAAAACCTTGTAGAAGTACATGTAATTACCATCTGCTATAAATTTGGCAGTAACTAAAACATACAGCTGAATTTTGAGGCCAAGGGAATTCAACGTGTTAAACTAAACAACTTGGTGCTACAAAAGGCTTGCTACTGGGGATGTGGTAAAGACTGTTCCCTTTTCCATGCTACTCTCCTGTCTTCCATTACCACAAATGCTTTTCCTTCTTGGCTTTGCTTCTCCAAGCATTGTGATGATGTCTCTCATGGATGGTCTTTCCTTAGGAAGTTTTGCAGTACATAGAAGTGCAATCCGGAGCACCAGAAGCATCTCTTCTTGAACATATTTGCACTCACCAGCTATGGAAGGATCTAGTGCTTCTAACAAGGCTTTATTGTTTCTCTTCTTTTGTATCCATTCGACTATGTCGACAGCTTCTTCAAATGTAGGGTCTAATGGCATCTTACCAGTTAGCAGCTCCAAAAGTACCACTCCATAACTGTATATGTCAATCTTCTCATCTACCTTCAGAGTGTATCCATATTCTAAAACCAGAAGAAAAATCATTTTAATCATTTGTATATCATGGTGAATGATAAACTATTGGCTACAAAGTACTAACCTGGTGCAATGTAACCATAAGATCCAGCCACCATTGTAACAGTCTCATTCTTTTGAATCATCATTCTTGCCAACCCGAAATCTGCTATCCTTGCCTCCAAATTCGCGTCAAGGAGTATGTTATTAGACTTGATATCCCTGTGAATAACCGATGGATGACAATCATGGTGTAGATAGTTCATCCCCTGTGCAACTCCAAGAGCTATGTTATACCTTGAAACCCAATCTACAAGCAACCTTGCAGATTCTTCACCATGCAGTGCTGTTCCAAGGTTTCCATTAGGCATGTACTCATAAACCATTATCACATCTTTTTCATTGTGAACATACCCTAATAGCCTTACAATATTCCTATGCCTCAATCTCCCCAACAGTTCCACTTCTCTTAATACATCATTCCCGCCATTTTCTATGTCTGTGCTTGACCTCCATAGTTTCTTCACTGCTACTGTTATCTGAGGTTTATGGATTTCAGCTTTGTAAACAATGCCAGCACCACCCATACCTATCACATTTGATTCCTTCATGCAAGTCAGTATCTCACTACTTGTAAAACTGATCCTTTGAAATGCTACTAACCTCCAAGGCCAATCTTCATTGCCTTGTTTGAACCAATCATAGATGAAATTGTTATGCAAATAACATCTATTGTATAACCATTTGCCTCCGAAAAATGCTGCAGCAAGAGATAAAATAACCAAAATTCCGGTCAAAAAACCAATAACAACATGACTAATGCGTGAACTCCTTTTCTGGTTTGTCACGGTCGAACTCCGGGAACATGAAGGGAGAATGCCTCCGCAAAGACCAGCATTTCCGATAAAATTGTTAGGATTCATGGTCATTAGAATCCCATTTGAGGGTACTGACCCTTCCAGTTTGTTATAGGACAGGTTCATCGTTTCAAGAGCCGGGGAGCTTCCGAAGTTTTCAGGTATCCGACCAGTCAGTGAATTGTTGGACAAGTCAAGAACAGATAAGGTAGGCATGTTTGTGATTGATTTCGGTATTCCACCTGTCAAGTGATTGTTTCTAAGGTTAAGGTTAACTAGTTTTGTACAAGAAGCTATACTTTCCGGGATTGTGCTGAAGATATTTGCACTTGAAAGATCAAGCACAGAGAGAGATGGACATCCCTGGAACTCATCAGGGATAGTACCTCCAAAGCTGTTGTGAGAGGCAATGAAGGTTTGAAGAGATGGAATAGAAAGAATTTCTGAAGGTAATGATGACTCAAGGCAATTCCAAGATACATCAATGAAGGAAAGTGATGTGGAAGAGGTTAAATCTATAGGAATTTGCCCGGTGAGATTGTTCTTCGCCAACTCCAGCCGTTGAAGGCTCGGAAGATTGCCAAATCCAACTGGAATAGTTCCTGAAATAACATTGTTTTGAATCCGAACTCGCACCAACGATGAACATTTTGAAAGTCCAATCGGAATATTACCGGAGAAAGAATTGTTGAAGAGAATCAGTTTTGTGAGATTGCCTGTTGTACATAAACCCGGAGGAACCTCACCAGACAATGAGTTAGATGACACATCTAACCACTGCAAAGGAGAATTTCTTCCGAGGTTCTTCGGCAAAGAGCCTTCTAAAGAATTTTTCCACAATTCAAGAACTTGTAAGTTTTTCAATTCACCTAGCTTTTCTGGTACATGACCAGTTAGTTTATTACTCATTAAATTCAAAAGCCGCAAATTTTCCAATTTAGCAAATTCTTCTGGTATTTCTCCTGTGATCTGATTATCAGAGAAATCTAGAAATTCTAGTGAGATAATATTGCCAAGTTGAGGTGGAATTTTCGCGGTGAATTTGTTTCGGTATAAGTAAATTGTAGCGAGTTTCTTGAGCTTACCTAATTCAGGTGGAATTTGTCCACTGAGAGTTCCTACAGCCAAATCAAGATACTGAAGATTTGTCATGTTACCAAATTCTGCAGGAATCTCACCTTCAAACTCATTGTATCCCATAATCAATGTTTCTAGCGAGTTTAGTTCGCCAAGATATTCTGGAATCTTTCCTGTGAAGTTATTGCCAGAAAGGCCTAGAAATTTAAGATTTTGCAAATTTGTAAAACTCCTTGGAATTGGACTTACAAAGTAATTTCCTCGAAAATCGAGGCTTTCGAGCAATGTTGCATTTCCAATATCCTCAGGAAGAAGACCCGAAAATTCATTGCTTGAAGCATTGATTGATCTCAACTCAGCAGATCTTCCGAATCCAAATGGAAACCCGCCGGTGAAGTAATTTTGGCTCACATCAAAGCTCTTTAGAAAAGTGAGGTTGGAAAGTGATTTCGGAAGCATCGAAGCAAAATTGTTACAGCTTATATTGAAATAAGACAAACTTGAAAGAGATTGAATATGGTTTGAAACAATGCCACTCAAATTCATGTTGTAGAGTTCTAGACTCTCTACAAAGCCTTTCGTGTTGCAACCGACTCCGGTCCAGTTACAATGGAGCAGTTGCGTCGGTATCTGCCAATCCTTGAGATGATTCATTGGATCAATAAAACTAGATTTGATGGTGAGAAGAGTTGAGAGTTCATCATTGGTTGTAATTTGAGCTCCCTCAATAAAAAAGAGAGAGACAAAAGTGTAAGAATAGAAGAGAAACAAATGAGGTAGCATATTTTGGTAATTCTGTTTGTTCTGTTAATGTTGTTGCATATTTGAGAGCAGGGAATGAAAGTTATAGGAAAAATAGTGAAAGGTGATGATTATTTATTGGATATACGTGAGTACTTGGGATGTGAAGCAGGTAATGATGAGTGTGATAATTTGAAACCTGAGAGACATGATAACATGCAGAGAATGTGTTTTGATAAGGTCAACTGAAGTGAAAAAATGGAAGTGTAAAAGAGATGAGGGAATGTGTTTTGGACAATCATTGTTTGTACCTACCAAACCCATTCCTAATCATAAACTAAATGTGGTCACCACCACATGGGTACATCTGGCTCTTTACAATTATATTACATGAAAGGAGATAGATAGTATTATATAGATTGTTCTAGTTTTGGAAATGAGAGATTAATGATTGGGCCCATACATAAATAATGAAAGTGAAAGGGTGGAAGCCATGTGAAAGAGAGGAGTTATAGTATTACTCATTATTGGAAGTTGTAAGTAAGTACTTTCATCATAAAAAGAAAAAGGAAACTGCCTCATGCTATTATTTTCTTTCTCAACAAAAGGCTGAAAAAATAGCTTCTTCACATGCTTCTATAGCAACTTAACAAGGAATTGGGTCCACCACCGCCATTCATAATTTCTTTGTTTAATACTATACCTTCGCTGCTTATGGTTTCAACCTCTTATTTTAAAATTAAAAATATAATAATATCACATACAATTTGATAATCTGTAAAATTATATAGGTACATTAATTAAATTATAAAAAATACAATTTATGAAATTAAACTCAAATTTTTAGAAATTTCCTAGATATTATATACATGTTGATTAGTTAGATCATGCATAACATCATTTAAAATATAAAAATATTTTTTTTTCTTTCATTTTAGTTCATTCATAAAATCATTCATTTATTTTATTTTTAAATAACTTTGAAAAAACAAATTATAAAGATAAACAACAAAACTACAAGAAAAAGAAATACAAGCCAACTAGTCCGAGAGTTCAATATATCTTGAATATTCAAATGTAACAAACCTCTTAAAAGACCAAGTTGGAGGGAGATAGACACGACCATTTGTACCAAATAAAAGGAGGGTTATTAATCACCCAATATACCACTAAATATCTAGCCACTTGAACAGATTCTATTCCCAATCAATAAAAGAAATGAAAAATCCTAAAACACCGGCATGAACTTATTTCCACGTTAAACAAATAATGGTAGACATCTAAGAATTAATCATCAAACTTTTTTGATAAAAGTTAACTTTATTACCCATTTTCTAAATCATCTAGACCACAAAATGTCAGATTGGAACCAAACCTAAAGACACATCTTTCACATGACCTAGACCCTAAAACAAATCAAACACCCCTAAAATCGAATGTAGTAGAGACCTAGGCCGTCCACCCACCTAAAAGTGTATACCAAATAAGTAAAGCAACTTCACACAAAAGAAACAGATGGTCGAACGAGTCCACATGCCCCATGCACACAACACACCTCACACTATCAGAACTATACAAAATTTGGCGCCTTAGGAGATTATGTCTAGTCGACAACCTATCACGAAGCAACTGCCACAAGAACATTACCCATTTATAAGGTTCCCAACTCTTATAAATCCTAGAAGGCACCCTTAAGACCTTATCACACCTACCCTTACTACCCCCAACCAAAACCAAGAGATTATCATAAACTGATCTAACTAAAAGCCTGAAGTCGAATATGGTTTTTAAACCCAAGATTCAACCCTCCATGCCTAACCACTCTCAAAATAAGGTTGAGCAAAACCCTAAAAAGCCCTTCCTAAATCAGAAAATTTGTATCCATCTAAAACTCCAAACCCGAACATCCCTTTCCCATGAACCCACTATTTGGGACTTTTGATCCAATATAAGATAAAGTCTATCAAAAGAGACACAGAGAGGGTATTCCCTACCTAGACATCATGCCAAAATCTGGTCTTCTGACTGTTCCTAACCAACTTAACACAAGATGAAGCAAACCGGTTAGTCTCCTAATTAGGTGGAGACCTAAAGAGGGAAACCCTCTCAACCAATGAGAGGCTCTTCTATGATCTTCTTCCCTACCACCCAAAAGAGAATTAAAACCCTGAGAACCATACCTCGTCAAGCTAATGTCTCTCCAAAACGAAGGGAAATCCATAAAAATCCTTCACCTCCACTTACTTAGCAAGACAAGATTAACAAATTTAGGATCTATCACCTCTAAACCACCATATCTTTTGGCTTTACAAACATCCTTCCACTTAACTCACAAAATCTTTGCTCCTCTTTGGACGTCGCATGGGAATAAAAGCCGAATGTAGATGATACACACATGATTCAGTATGGTCTAGAGAGGATAAAACTAATTATGAACCATATGAGTACTTCATTATATGTATATTCCGAGACTCTATATTGCGAGACGTGAATCTATATAATTTATTTTTGGACTTATCACTTATTAGACATGTTTTTTTTCTGTGTTGGTTATAGAAGAACAATTATTTATTATGATTTTGTTGTTTAACATAACATAATAACACACCGATTACAAAGTAGATATAACTTTGAAAATGCAAACATAATAATCATAACAATCAAGCATACATTACAATTACAATATACAATTGACAGAGAGTAAAATTTGAAAATGCATAAGAATTTTATGGTAGGTTGTTATGGCTTAGTCAAACTAGTGACAAATTCATCAAGTTCACCAAGGAACCCTATAATCTTGTCAACTCATGGAACAATTCAAACATACTAAAATATCATGTATATATCTTACTTGTGTCTAGCTCGATTGATCATTTAGTTTCATAACAATGGAGAGTATGAACATTGTCTTTACTTCATCATCATTCTGAGTTTATTTGAAGAAACATGAAGGAGTGAATAAAAAGAGCCAAGATATAGACTTGCCGTGTGTATAATCCACCATTTACTTTACTTGCCTTGTTTAATTTCTGTAGTTATGTTATAGTTAAGTGGCAAGCATAAGCAAGAAAACAGGTAGTGTGTTATATCAAATGTGGATGATATTTCTCTTTGAAATGAACCTCATAACAACTCAAAAGCCATAAACGTTCCATCAAATACATATTTTGAGAGGAGATAGAAAAAGGGAATGAAGTAGAGATAGTGGACAACACAGAATAGTATAAGCTCTCAATATATAGTAAATTGAAACAGGCTACATATATTTTTTAATTGTGTGTTGGATCATCTTGACTTGGTGGTGTACCTGTTGAGGAGTCAAGAGGGCTACTTCACTTAGTTTATCACATAATTGTCTTGCTAAAATATTGCTGGGTTTAATATCGATTATAAGAAATAAATATTGATTATCTTAATCTAATTAAATAATTATATATTTCACAAAATATCTTTGAAAGAAACTTATTTTATGGGAATGAAAAGAACCCATTGCAAAATGAATATATTATTTTTTTACTAGCATTCTTAGGATATTGTGGTGTCGGCCATACATCATTTTGTTATTAGAGTTTAAAGTGACCTCTCTTTAATTTCAACAAACAATATATTTCTTTCTTGTTCTCATTATCCTTTTTCACGTAATTTTGTTCCATTATCCTTTTCAATGTGATCTATAAACTTGTTATTAAAATTGTGTTCCATTGTCTTTTTCAATGTGATCTATAAACTTGATATTAAAATTGTGGTAAATTTTGTGAAGTCTCTACTTAATAATATTTATTACGTCAAAATTGTTTTTTTGGCAGCACTACAAATACAGTGCTTTTTCACAAAAGAGCTAAAATATGCCTTTAGAAAGCGCTTATGAAAAGTGCTGCTAAAAATCATACGTAGAGTAAACAATAGAAAACACTTTCTAGAAAATGCTGCTAAAAGCCTACATTAGAAAGCGCTTTACAAAAGCGCTGATATACGGGGTGTCTAGGTTACACCTTAGACAACGCTTTTCAAAAGCACTGCTAAAGGTCTAGCATATGAAAGCGCTTTGTAAGAAAAAGCGCTGCTATAAGTATAAGAAAAGAAAGCGCTTTTAAAAGTGCTGCTATAGGCCATTAAATTCTAAAATTAAAACAGAATTTTTATGTTTTTGCAACCATTCTGTCTCTCACACTCTCAGATGTACCTTTTCTCAACCTTATCAGACCTCTGTCCGCCGTATCTTTCTCCGACCAGCCGTGTTTCAGTCGCGTCTACTCTCTCCGTCGTAGCACCCTCCGTCTACAGTTCTCTCTTTCTCCCTCTGTTCGCCTTCGGCCGCGCTCCACCATTTTTCAAGGTATTTCTTTATTTTCAAGGTTATTTGCATGGTATTTCTTTATTTTTTTTGGATTCCCTAACCGTGAAATACATTGTGATGTTGTTGTTATTTGAATTCAATAGAAGTTTGAATGACATTGTTGTAGTAAGGTTCAAGATGATGAATAATGATATTTGCGGTGAATTTCTTTTGAGTTTTGAAGTTAATTTTGTAAGTTAATGTTGAATGTTAGTGATGGAGTTGTTGAAAATAATTGACAATAATAACATTGTTGATGGATAATTGTTGAATGTTAGTGATTACTTTGTTTTGATAGAACTTTGTTTTGATCTAAATAAATGTTGATTGAAAATGTTAATTAGTGATAATTACTTTGTTTTGATTGAAATGTTGATTGAAATGATAATGAAAGTAATTATTAATGGTTAAGATTGAAGATGGTGAATAGTGATGACATTGTGAATTTATTTTTGATAATCATTGGTGATGTTATTGATTGAAACTTGAATGACATTCGTGAATTAATTGTTGAATATTGTGATGTTGTTGATTGTTTGAACTTAAGTGATGAAGTTGTTATATTTGGTAATTTAAATGTGGATTTGATAATTTTGGTGATTGATTTATTCTCGAATTGATGATTTTTTGTGACTTACTTGAGTTAAAATATTAAGTGTGATTGAATTTACGCGTTTGCTATAGTTGCGTGAATAATTTGTGTTTT